GGTCCGCTGGAACCAATAGGTAAATTTGTAGACGATTTAATTAAGGATCTGGTCTTGGAACTCAGATCCTATATGAGGGATACGGGAGATGTACTGAAAAAGATTCTAAATGTAAAAGTACCTAAGGGTGCACTTCTGGTGGGCATTGATGTGGAATCATTATATACCTCTATTCCACACATCTGGGGACGGAGAGCTGTGGCCCACTTTTGGAGACATAATTTCCCTGAAATGGAGGCTCAGAATGAATTTATATCGGACTTGTTGGAGTTTATATGCTGACCCATAACTGTTTTCAGTTTTTGGGTTCCTTCTATCAGCAAATATGTGGTACCTCCATGGGAGCACCCTGGGGCCCCGGCATTTGCATGCTTACATCTAGGGCTGTGGGAAGAGGAGTTGGTATATCCCTCCACTCCCTATAAGCAACATGCAATAAAATGGTTGCGATACATTGATGATGTCCTGATGGTTTGGGATGGAGGTATAGATGAGCTAAAAAAAATTTATGGAATTCCTAAACGAGAATGATAGGAATATTAAACTTACTTACACAGCAGATAGAGAGGTAATAACATTTTTGGATCTATCAATTCTCTATCTACGGAAATAAATTAGTCACTAAAACGTTTAGAAAGGAAACAGCGGCCAATACACTTTTACATGCTAATAGCTATCATCCAAGGAGTTTAAAACAGGGAATACCATTGGTCAGTTTCAGAGAATTAAAAGGAACTGTACAGAAGAAGCTGAATATAGAAATGAATCTATTCAGCTCTACAAGAGGTTTAGAGAAAGAGGTTACTCACATAGAAACCCTAAGAAGAGCAAAAAGAAGAGCCCTTGGGTAGAACAAGAGAGAGCTTTATAAAATAAATCAAAATCAAAGGCAGGGGCGAATTCGGTAAATCAACCGGTAAGATTCATAACTAAATTTGGACAACAATGGGGTGAGGTCAAGAAGGCCCTGGACTCTCATTGGTACTTACTAACTCAAAATCCACAGATAGCAAGAGTGGTAGGGGAGAGCCCCCAAATGGTAGCAAAAAGAGCTCGGAACTTAAATGATATACTAGTACAATCAGAGTTTCAGAGGGCACCCACAAAGAAATTGGTTAACTAGGAGGACTGGCCTATGTGGTATGTTCCCATGTGGCCACTGCCAAATTTGTCCATTTGTACATAAGTCTAATCAGTTTCTTTAACAATGTAAAATCTAAGGAATTCCAGATACGAAGCTTTATTAATTGCTCCAGTAGTAGAATAATATACATGATAGAATGTCCATGCAAGAAGATGTATATAAGAAAAAACGAAAAGGAACCTCAGGACTAGGATCGGTGAACATCTGAGAGATATCAGAAATGAAAATAGGAATGTAAGAAAGGGAGAGAAAGAGAACCCACTGGCACAACACTTTAAAGAAGTACACGGGGGTAAAACAGAAGGTTTGAAGTGAAAGGGATTTTTCTGCTGAATATTTCAGCTCGTCGGGGGGACTTTGATAAAGTCCTCCTACAAAAAGAAAAATTTCTGGATCTATACCCTGGGGTTGACACTTGTCCATATGGACTAAACACAGAACTCAATTTTGGAGTTTTTTTGAATTGAATTTTTTGGAACCTTTAACATACCTTGAGTTATAACCTGTATTGGGGAACTATATATGGGAATGAAATATGGATCTATTTGGACAAAGTATGAATCTAACTATGTGATTCTTCCTATTCCCATTATATATTAAACTCCTATAATAACTAGATTTAATACTAAATTAGGAAATTGAACCCTGTCTTGATGTCTCCCTGTCTGAATAATAATTATTATAATAATTCTTTTCCACTATCCTCTTTAAAGATGATCTGATTTACAGTAATATGGTCTCTCCTTTTTATTGCCAGCAGTCAATTTAAATTTAATATATGTGTTCTAATTCACTTTGGATATTTCAAATGTAGTGATACTCTTTCAACACAAGATGGCGAGGTGGAGACTCTTTGGTATGCAATTAGTGCACCATATAGGCAAAGGACTGAAGTCCCCTCCCAGTTCTGACGAAGTCTGCGGTGATTGGCGGACGAAAACGCGTCAAACGTATTGACGTCACTACGCTCGGCGTCTTCATAGGGTGCGGCGCCCACGAGGTGGGAAAGGAACGGCGGTGTCACAGCTCCTTGCTAGGAAGGCACGAGGCCCTCTGAAAAACTACCATAAGGCTACTATTACAGCGTTCGCAAACGGGCAATCCCCTAGGGGAACATACCTTCCCCGGTGGCAAGTTATTTAAGCTTACAGCTGTTTAGATTTATAGAGCATATAATGGAGTTAAGAAGGCATGTCATAGGGGCCTAATTTACCCTGTATACTCTGGGAATTTTTTTGGAAATCCTCTTCGGAGGATAATATATATATATATATACACGCTATCCTATTTAGGCATCGTATGCTGTGACATAGCCATATCCTAATGAAACCGCTTCAATTTTCTCAGATTGAGTAATTTTTGGAAACCCTTCATTGGGTATATAGACTCAGGTACTCACGGCCTGCTACATACATATTATATGTGTTTGGAATCTACGTACTGTGACTACCTGGCTCCCCACCCCCATATGCACCTTTGAACAAGCATCAAGGACCTGATCTTATTTCAAGTCGACGGGAGTCTTCTTGATCTTTATTGATGGTAATATACCCATATTGTGTTCCTTGTTTTCAGGGATTACTTGATGCCTGTGATCTATACATTTATTTTTATATATATCCCCAGAATCATTTGGTACTGTGGACTTTGTTTCACTTGGGGTGGCTACCCAGGAAGTCCCTACATTTGAGAAGCGGGTATGACAGTCTCACAACTGAGAAGGTAATAGAAGTGTTCACTAATTACTGTAGAGGGAGGCTTGGTGAGGCTTGGATGCGCGGATTCAGCTCCTATATTTTCATACATACACTGTGTATTTTTGTGTTCCAGCTTTCACATACCAGGAGGCTCCTGACGTTATATTGGGAACATATCTGCCGAATAACATGGCTCACTCTAATATAAGTTGGAAATTCATGTAAATCTAGGAGAATTTACCTCACCATTACTCTATATATGGTGCTCTACTTGCTAAAATGACCCTTTAATGAAGACGCCAAGTGCTTTTAACATGATTTTATTTGTTTGACATGTTCACCGTGCTCATGTTTAACCTCCTTATGATCTATGTGATCAAATAAAGTATTATCTGAATTTTTTTGAATTCATATTACTCCGCGTGGATCATTTAGTAACCTTTTTTTTTTTTTCAGGTAGGGGTGCTCTTGTCACACTACCATATTGTATTAGTATATAACATCCCCACCCTGCACATGCACCTAAACGCAGGTAAATACATCTAAACCTATGTAATCTCATTTTCAAATTGCAACTATCTGTAGGAAATGTTCCAACTTTTTCAAGTGCAGATTCCTGGTGTTTAGCTACTGTCAGATACAAATGTCTGTGAATGTAGCCTTAGGACTTGGTTGACATCTACACTGGGTAGGAAAGATCATACTGAATTATAAAAATTGAAATGTATATACACACATTGGAGTTAAAACATACTACAGAATATAATCAAACAGAGAGGGCTAATTCACAGCAGAAAGCACTAACTTTGACCCATGCTGCATCAACATTATGTGGTAAAAGTGGTGTTTTAGAAGAATTTCAACTGAAATTAAGTGTATATATCCAACCCTAGTTTTTCTTTTTTTTTTTTTTTTTTGGACAGCGTGAGGAGGGATTAGAACCTTTGTTTTCTGCTATCTCTTACTGTGTCTTCAGAGAAGTAAGGGACCAGCAGCACAGACACAAATTAAATGGAACTGCATTTCACTACTTTACCCTATGTTCACACTTATGTGGATGTAATAGACTTTAGTGGACCCACACCAAAAACATGAGTATTGCATTTTTGCCACTTCCTTTTTGTTGTGTTTTGCAGTTTTTTTTTTTGCTAATAAAAAAACAATAGCTCTGTTCATGTAGTGCAACTTTGATGCAACTTTACATTCTCTGGCACTCAAGTAGCATCAAAGTTGCATCAAAGTAGTGCAGGAACCTATATGTGACCAAAGTTGCATGTTAGAGTGAGGGTTACCGACTGAGGGTTAGGGTTAAATGTAATTGTTAGCGTTAGGGTTAGCGGTAATTGTTAGGGTTGAAACCCTAATGATTACCGCTAACCCTAACTTCAACATTTAACCCTAACCCTAGCCCTTAACTCTAACATGCGACTTTGGTCACATATAGGCTCCTGCACTACTTTGATGAAACTTGAGTGTCAGAGAGTGTAAAGTCGCATAAAAGTTGCATCACAGTTGCTTCAAACTCGCACTGAACAGAACTGTCATACTTTTCTATTGACAAAAAAAACATAAAAATGTGGCAAAAATGTGTATACAAACATGCTAAACGCGACGGAAAAACTCATCAACCACAATGTGCATAGATGTGAACCTAGCCTTAAAGAAAGAACTGCATTTTTATTTTTGTGTGTGCCTTTGTGAACGATTTTATCTAGTTTTTGGAGCCCCTGATAGGAGTAAGGACCCAACAGAAATTCTAACCTTTCCCCACTCCATCCAAAACTAAAAAAAAAAAAAAAAAAAAATACTTGGACATGAACTTTATCTTCAAAGGCCAACTCACCTAAAATACAGCATAGAAGAAATCATTTCCAATAAAGTGCAAGGTGCTGGCTAGAGTAGGTCCTAACTAAAACTTGAGTGCCACATCCATGTATTCTGGTTGTCCTGGAGAACACATGATTATGCATGAACATATCCTCACAAGAATACTTGAAAGACTACTTTGCTTCTATAGCTAAAGTATTTGTACACAAATTTCACATGAATGTTCATATAGTCAAATGATCAGATTAGATTGTAAACTTTTTTTAGGGGTCTTAAAATAATAAACAAAAAAACAAATAAAATGTATATAGGTATATTTGTATATTACGTACCTAAGAATTTGTAGTTCCTGTTGAGAATTTTCGAGTTCATCACTAAGGCGATGCCATCTAAGAAGAGCTTTTAACTCATGCTGTTCCCTGGCCTCCTCTGCTGTGAGCTGTCCAGAAAAAAGAACATTAGTGTCCTTGTTGTGACTTGATATATAGTACAATGTAGTCTTCCATATATTTTTTAGGACATTTACACTGACTACCAATATAAAGGGGGCTTTTACAATGAGCACCAACTTAACAGGGGTAATTACACTTTCCATTGATGCAACAAAGATTTCTACACTGGCCACAAATGTATCACCAGCATTTACATTGGCTACTAATGTAATATGACATTTGAACGAATCACTTATTTATCGGTATCATTTACATTGGCTACCAATTAGGAAATTCACATTAACCACTGATGTAACAGAGACAATTACAGCAACGTCCAGTGCAACAAAAGGATTAAGCACTGAATTCTAATGCCTCATAATAATGGTGGTAAGTGTAAATACTCCTATTACATGGGTGGTAAGTAATGTGTCCACCAACGCAGATGTTCACAAAGAGAATAACCCCAATACAACTGTCTCAGTTGGAGAAGACTTCCCTATTATTGGTGTTAGTGGAAGAAGAACCCTCATTCATTGGTGTTCTGTGATTAGCTGCCCCAGGAAGGAAGTGCAGAGGAGATGCTGTTTATGCCAGTAGCTTGGTTATAGGGATGTTAGAGCTAAAACTATGCAGCCACTAATGGGTATGGATACATCCATCCACAGAAGAAGAAGCCCTAAACTGGCCAAGGTAATTTCATTTACTGCGAGTACCCCAGCAGACTCGGAGGTCCTGGGACCTACTGCAGACAGGGGTAGCCTGCCCTGGAATTGAGAAGCATTTGTGCACCTGCACAGGTGATAGATCCACTGCTGGCTTACAGAGCTTAAGGGGTTAAAGAATATGTAAATCCAACATTTCATATTGCTAGTATGTGCCTGCTGTACCATGTACTTGTATAAAAAAGTATCCTGTTCTCTTTGTATTGTTTCTTTTGTGTGAAATCCCTGCCAGTCCCTCTGCTCTCCTTTTAAAAACTGACTATACTAAGCAGGAGAGCAAGTGGTCAATTGTCTAGCTGTGCTGGAAACTCAGTGTGCTCTCCTCTAATGATCAGACTTGTCCTGACACGCCCCCTGTAGAGCCATTCACTGGGAAGATGAGTGTCCTGTTGTTTCTTCTTTGAAAAAGAATGTAATGTAGCACCTGTGCCATTGGTGCACTGTCCTAAATGTTTATTTGTAAGTAATGAAAAGATACACACCATTAATATACCATCAAACTGAATTTTTAAACTGACCATAAATTTTTTAGCAGAATCACAGAATTTTGCACTAGAGTCTCGCAGTTTAAGCATACCTATCAATACCTTTGCAATTCTTGATGAATAAATTACTGACATTATACAAAATACATCAACAATTTAATTGTTTAAAAATATATCCTTTTTGTTCGAAAATGCAATTATTGAACTCTGGCCTTAGTCTCAGTCTCTCAGCATCTATTAATTTCTCAGTCTCCCTACTCTGTTATCATAGTCTGTACATTGAACCTTTGTGTTAAGCTGACCATAGACCATGCAAAAACCGAACGACACACAATTTTCATGCCATAATCAAAAGTGCCTGATACAACATATGAGCTATTTTTGGTTTTCACTCGATAGAACGTTCAGATTTCTACTCGTCCATGGCATGCTTTAGATCAGCGAGAGGCTGCACTAGACAGGTCGATTTGTGCGAGATGTGTACAAATAGCCAAGAACATACAGGCTGCTTCACAGAAAACAGGTTTTACATGACTGTGTCATCTATGGGCCATTCTTTGCTCCCAGGCAGTCGGAGACCCTGACCCTAAATTATGCATTACCAAAGTTAGGTCAGCCTCCTGGGAAGAGAGGAAGTTGAAGGCATCATTAAGGGAAGTAGTGGATGACAACTAATAAAACACCTACAAGTTTTACACTCAAACCATAGTGTATATGGGCGCAACATAAAAAAATATATCTGAGATTAGGTCTGCATTTATAATCATATTCTGGCTTGTGACTTTGGGATGTTAAGAAAAAGAAAAGTAAACTAAAAACACGATGAAGAGTTAGCCTGACCACTACTTCTTGATCAAAGTTTAAAAGAAAACTTCAATTTTAGTAACACTTTCTGAATTGAATTAAAATGCCTGATTGTTTTCATTCTCTGCAGACTGCATTATGACATTATTGTTGTTTTGTGTGCAACATAATCACTCAAAATCTACATTTCCTGCCATTACAATTAAAAGCAGAGTCAAAAATACTACATTTTGTATTTATAGCACACAATACCACGCTAGAGGATAATGGAAACAATTTGTGCAGTTAAAAGGGAGAAAGGATGGAGCCTTTCCATGTTATTGCTAAATGTGGGATGGCGTGGTGATGCTGCTCTCAGATAACACTTGTGTTTGAAAATGAGGGCAACCGACAGATGTGCTTTGCACTGGCTGCCTCCCCTTCTGTGTACTTAGCAAGCAGTGTTCTGTCAGCTCTGTTTCACAGAATATAGAACATTTTTTATTGCAATCTATATAATTAATAAAAACTTTCTGGAAGTTAACATCTCTGGAATTTACAGAAGAAGAGGATAAAGTAATCTCATAATGGCCAACCCTCTAGCCAGAGGTTGAAGTGGATATAATTTAATTTATAACATATAAATTTGACTGCAAGAAATTTTTTGCTTAAGCAAATACATGACACTAACACTGTTTGGATGAATCAAATGAAAAAAAGCAGTATGGAGCCATGAGAGATCGAAACAAATTGTGTGAGGTGGGCTACACTTGAGATGTTGATGAAAATATAGAAATTTTAAAACAAAAGTAGACATCCAAGTTACGATATTTAAAAAGAAATCGGCCATATCCCCACCTCTGTCTTAGAATGTTGCTATATGCATACTTGACAGGACAGTGTGCAAAGAAAGCTCCTTCGTATACGAAGATATTTTAGAACAGAGGGAGGCTATTTACAATTCACTATGAAGATGGGATGTAATACCAAGAATGTGATGACCAATGAACAATATCAAGCCATGGTCATCAAAATTCAACATTTTAACATTTACATTTAAGTGAATTGTAAAACAAAAGCCCCAGATGGAAACATTTTTGAGGGTTAGGGACTAATGTGATTATACAATATATATGTAAAGCACTGCATAAATTGACAGCGCAATATAAGTACCTGAAATAAATAAATAAAATAAATGATCACATTGGGCAGCCACGTCTGGATTGTGTAGCCCTGCTCTTTTTTCCCCAGGATAATGTATTATATGTTGACCCTCCTGACCCAGTTGGTGCGGATGTGTTTGGGCCTGCATCATTGTCCTAACCTTTGCTTGTCCACCCACTTAACCTATAATATATTTTTACTATGTTTTGTTTCTTTTCTTTTTATATCTGTTTGATCTGTATTCTGTGAAATTCCAAATAAATATTTATTATGGAAAAAAAAATTGTCATCAAAATATGGAGAAGATAGGGGACTCTATTTTACATGCAGCCTAAAAAAGACAGAAATGTAATAAACAAATAGAGATACCAAAAAAGACTAAAATGAGGTGAGGTGATTCTGACATTTTATAAACAACATCAAATGATTTTGGAAATAATACAGAAATATTGGAAGATTTTATGTGGAGATGCTAGACTAACATCATTTCTCACAAAAAAAACTCAGTTTATAAAAGGGCGAAGTTATTAAGACAGGTATCTAGTGAATATGACAGTCATAAAAAAAACGCAAATAGTTGCAAATATAGAAGGAACCTTTCAATTTAAAAAAATGCACTTATTGCAGATACATTCAAATAGAAACCACAAGAATTACATTGCATATGGCTAAAACCAAGGAAAAGCATATAGTACATATAATATTTTACGAGTCCAATAAGCATTATGTACAGCCCTATAGAAACGTTTTGAGAATTACAGAAATATTACATTTTCACAAAGTCTGCTGCTTCTGTGTTTCTAGATCTTTTTGTCAGATGTTACTGTGGTATACTGAGGTAAAATTAGAAGCATTTCATAAGTGTCAAAGGCTGTTATTGACAATTACATGAAGTTTATGCAAAGAGTCAATAATTGCAGTGTTGACCCTTCTTTTTCAACACCTCTTCAATTCACTCTGGTATGCTGTCAATCAACTTCTGTGCAACATTCTGACTGATGGCAGCCCATTCCTGCATAATCAGTGCTTGGAGTTTGTCAGAATTTGTGGGGTTTATTTGTTCACCCGCCTTGAGGATTGACCACAAGTTGTCAATGGGATTAAGGTCTGGGAAGTTTCCTGGCCATGGACCCAAAATTTTGATGTCTTGTTCCCCAAGCCACTTTGTTATCACTTTTTCCTTATGGCAATGTGCTCCATCATGCTACAAAGGCATTATTTGTCAAACTGTTCTCTTGGAGGAAGTTTTTGTACCATTCTTTATTTATGGTTGTGTTCTTAGACAAAATTGTGAATGAGCCCACTCCTTTGGCTGAGAAGCAACCCCACACATGACTGGTCTCAGGATTCTTTACTGCATGACATAGGACTGATGGTAGCACTCACCTTTTCTTCTCCGGTCCTCAGCAGTCCAATCCCTGTACCTTTTCTTATCTTTCTTATATGTTCTTGATGTTTCTCCTGGAGAGAAATGGCATCTTTGCTGCCCTTCTTGACAACAGGCCATCCTCCAAAAGTCTTTGCCTCACTGTGCATGCAGATGCACTCACACCTGCCTGCTGCCATTACTGAGCAAGCTTTGCACTGGTTGTGCCCTAATCCCGCAGCTGAATCAACTTTAGGAGACAGTCCTGGTGCTTGCTGGAGTTTCTTGGGTGCTCTGAAGCCTTCTTCACAACAATTGAACCTCTCTCCTTGAATTTCTTGATTATCCAATAAATGGTTGATTTAAGTACAATCTTAGTAACAGCAATATCCTTGCCTGTGAATCCCTTTTTGTGCAAAGCAATGATGACTGCATGTGTTTCCTTGCATGTAACCATGGTTAACAGAGGAAGAACAATGATTTCA